TCTACACTGAAAACTACAGCACTGAAAAAAGAGATCGAGGAGGATATAAGAAAATGGAAAGCTATCCCCTGCTCCTGTGTAGGAAGAATCAACATAGTGAAAATGGCTATACTACCAAAACTGCTATACAGATTCAATACAATACCAATTGAAATCCCAACACAATACTTCACAGAACTAGAAAGAGGAATCCAAAAATTCATTTGGAACCATAAGAGACCTAGAATAGCAAAAGCCATCCTAGTCAATAGACACACGGCAGCGGGTAGAACAATTCCCAATTAGAAACTATACTACAAAGCCACTGTGATAAAAACAGCACAGTACTGGCAAAGAAACAGACCCGAGGATCAGTAGAACAGATTGGAAGACACAAAAACAACTCCAGATGCACTCAGCTAACTCATCTTTGACAATGGAGCTGACTGTTCCCACTGGAGGAAAGATAGCCTCTTAAATAAATGGTGTTGGAAAAACTGGATTTCAACCTGCAAAAGATTAAAACTAGACCCTTATCTGTCACCATGCACTAAATTAAAATCCAAGTGGATTAAAGACCTAAATATAAAAAAAGAAGCACTAAATTTGCTGGAAGATAAGTTAGGCAGAACTCTGGAAGACATTGGCATAGGAAAAGACTTTATGAACAAATCCTCAGTAGCACGGGAACTAGCAGAAAGAATCAACAATTGGGATCTCATCTTATTAAAAAGCTTCTATACTGCAAAAGAAACCATCAACAGAACTAAGAGACAACCTACAGTGTGGGAAAAAATTTTTACCAGTTGCTCCTCAAAGGACTATTATCTAAAATACATAAAGAACTCAAAACAACCAGCACCCCAAATATAAAGACCCAATTCTAAAATGGGCATCTGAAATGAACAGACATTTCTCAGACAAAGAAATAAAAGCAGCAAGGAAATATATGAAAAAATGTTCCATATCACTGGTCATTCGAGAGATGCAGATGAAAACAACTCTGAGATTCCACCTCACCCACAGAGAATGGCTGCTATCAAGAAATCAACCAATAACTAATGTTGGCGGCATTGTGGGGAGAAAGGAACCCTTCAACATTGTTGGTGGGAGTGCAGACTGGTGCAACCACCATGGAAGTCAATATGGAGATACCTCAAAGAAATAGGATTAGAGGTTCCATTTGACCCAGCCATCCCTCTGCTGGGTATCTTTCCAAAAGAATTTAAAGAATAATATCACAGTGATATATGCACACCCATGTTCATAGCAGCACAGTTTGTAATAGCTAAAACTTGGAAACAGCCCATCTGCCCATTAGTTGGAAACTGGATGATGAAGGTGTGTTTTTTCTATAAAATGGAATACTACTCAGCCATAAAGAATGAGAAAGTAGATTCATTCATAGGTAAATGGGTACATTTTGAGGATATACTCCTAAGTGAAATAAATAAGTCACACATATGCAAATACCAAATAGTTTCTCTGGTGTGAAAAACTAAAATAATACTCAAGATCCTAATGGGGCAATTAGCAATGTGAAATAGGAAGAAAAGGACCAAAGGTGTAGGGACAGTGAGAAGGATAGGGAAAGGGGAATAAGGGAAAAGGAAAAAAATATGAGAAAATGTAAAAATGGAATTAAAGTGTTTGAAGGTGGGGAGGGGAGGTGGGGGTGAAGGGAGGGGGGGGACAAGGGGGAAAAATGAGAACCAAGACCTGTCATGTAAAGGTACAAGATCCCAGTAATGAATGTAACTGTACGGTCTACCTAAAATGTACCAATAAATTCAATTTAAAAAAGAGGAAGATAAAACAAATAATTCATTTTCAATCTATTGAGTATGTTAGAAAGTACATATGCTCCTTTTCTTTTTTCTTTTTTTTTCTTTTTTCTTTTTTCTTTTTCTTTCCCTGGTGCTGGGGATTAAACTCAGCACATTGCTCTGGCTAGGCAGATGCAGCACTACTGAGCTAAATCTCAGGCTTTACATTTCATATTTTTAAAATTTATCAACACATTAATCTTTGTCTCTATATGTTGGGCTACCAAATGGATGAGTTATTTTGGTTCTCTTTTTCTTTGCTTTTTTATTTGAGAATTTATGAAATCTGTATATATGAGTAGTATTAAAAGTATTAAGGTCCATCCGTCATTCTCCTCTCTCATCTCTGCCTTCTGCAAACTTCCTTTTCTGTCACTACCGCTTGTTTGGTTGGAAATTTGTTAAGACAAATTTTGTTATGCTATCCATAGATTTTTGTACCTATTTTCTACTGATAAAAAATATTAAATTTTAAGTATATTTTATAACTATACTTAAATAAATGGATAATAAATCATTAATATCATTCAGTATCTGGTACATATTACAAAATCTCCAACTGCCTCAAAGATATTTGTTTTTCTCAAATCACAAACATTCCACACATCACTGCACTGTTTTATTATACCAAAGTATATATTGTATTGTAGAAAATATGCATTGTGTAAATGTGTGTGGGGGTATGTTTTACACATATGTGTGCACTATTAAATGAGAAACATGGTCATGAATGTGGTAGGACTTTGCACATTTGGCATATTGATAGTTTCTCTGGCAACCTTATGATTTCTCTAAATTAGATGCTTGATTTAATACATAGTCATTTGTTTGGGAAGAATATTACGTATGTATTGATGTTAAATTCTACCATTATGCTTATAAAAATATAAAAATAAGTATGGGATATAATAAAAAAGAAACAGAAAAATCAGATCTTAAAAATGTGAATTCTTAGTTGTTTTTGGATTTCAAATATAAGTATATTTCTTTTCTGTGGGAAGTTGTGTTAGAAAATGTAAGTGATACAATCAATAAGCATATGATATCAAATTAATAAAACCAAGGAGTTTATAAATCATAAAATTTTGAGGACAGTTTCTCAACTATAATATGTAACTTTGTTTTATTTGTAAATATAATATTTCAAAAATATTATATGAAAAGAAAATGAGAAAGAACATATAATGTTTGAAGATCATATCAAACTAATAATGTATTTGGATTATCAGTCTGTGTTGCATAAATTTTTGTTTATTTCATATCCTTTTTTTGCTGTCATATATATGTATATCTGAAATTTTTATTTAGTATCTTCATTTCTTGTTGTCATGTATGTTTGCAATCTTTAATAAAAAAGAAGATGATTATGAATCCTAGGGACAATAGAAGATTAAGAAAAATTAAATAATTTTATGTTAAAATACAAAACATAACAGACTAATTGGGAAGATTTCTAGAAAGACATAAGTTTTCAAAACTGATCTAAGAACTAGAAAACTATAGATCCTGTATTAATTACATTTCTAATTAAGAACTTTCCAACAAATAAAACTCCCATGTCCAGAAAGCTTCACTGGTGATTTCTATTAAGCACTTAAGGAAGAAAATAAACTTGGTGCAGTGGTATATGCCTGTAATCCCAGCTACACATGAGGCTGAAGTGGAAGGATCACAAGTTTAAGGCCAGCCTGAGCAACTTAGTGAGATCTTGTCTCAAAACAAAACAGTGCTGAATATATAGCTCAGTAGTAGGCTTTCCTACCATGCCTATTGTGAATAAGACCCCAAGTTCAATTCCCGGCACTACAGAACAAAATAGAATAAGAAACAAAGTGAGTAGTAATACCAATCCTCTATAAATTCTTTCAGAAAACTTAAGAGGAAGAAATATTTCCATATTCAGGATATAAACTTATACTAATACCAAAAGGAAAAAAACTATAGACCAGTATGTAGATGAAAAAAATCCTTAACAAAATATTAGTAAATGGAATCACAAAAATAAATATAAAAGAATAATATCATGACAAAGTGAGGGTTAACCCAGGCATGCCAAATTAAATACATATTTGAAAATCAGTCAATTCAACTGTACATATTAATAGAGAAAATCATGTGTTCCTTTCAATAAATGTGGAGAAAGAATCTGGCAAAATACAGAAACCACTTATTAATAAAAATGTTAAGCAAAGGAGGGTGAGAGTGGGCTTTTCTTGACATATAAAGGGCATCCACAAGAAGCCTACAGCTAATATCATTCTGAAAGCTGATTAAAGCTGAGACTGAACCCTTTTCTCCTAAGGTCGGAGTAAGGCAATGAGTCCCAAGCTGGCCACTTAAAGTTTATATCCTCCTGAAAGTCTTAACCATTGCAACCATAGAACAAAGTCATCAAAGCTTTTTCAAAGACAGGAAAGAAAAAAAGCTTTCTTCATTCAGATGTGACATTAGTGTACACATAAAAAATCCCAAGGAATCTGCAAAAAAGCTACTAGAATGAATAAATTAATTTAACAAAGTCTCAAGAAATAATACACAAAACTCATCTTTCTACACGGTGGTGGTCTTTCAATTTCCATAAGTCCTTTGATACTATCTTCTTTAAAAGATGGATCTTTTTATTATTTTTCCTTGAATGTGGTTTGATCATAAAACTTTGGAATACTCATAATATTTGTGACATTTTTGAAGCATATACAGTATTCAGTAATATTATTACCGCACCTATATTGAACAGGCCCTCCCGACTACAGTAGTATTATAAGCCTACACATCATTCATTCATTGACATAGCAAAAATGCACTAAGTGCTATGTGCCACACCCTAGGTTAAGTGCTGCAAATATTGCAATGCATAGGAGAAATGGAGCACAGCCCTCAGGAAAACACTTGAGTACAGGATCTGTACTGCTCTTTGCTTCTCCTGCAGAGCCTGGGAAAGCATCCTGCAGTTGCTGAAGTGAATTTAGATACATCCGTTTACATTTGCAGAGTGTCTTCTACTTGACAATTCTATTACCCTAGTTGATGCTATTCTATGAAATAAAATTATGAGAGCTATATTTCTCCCAAAGGCACTGTAAAAGTCAAAGTGCACACTGACCACAAGTCATGTCTTCACACTTCCAAGTTAACTCTGAGTCACCAAAGTTTTATCTTGACAAAGTACCCAGACGGTCCTCTAAATTTATTTACCTGGGTAACTGCTGAAAGACAGGCGGCTACTGCTGGTGTCTTTATCTTTGATGTTGAAGTCCCAGTGTTTATATATCCTGAGCATGGCTGCATATGTATACCAGCTTGAGTGAGCAAAATAGATGTTCTCAAATCCAGGAAGAACCTATAGCCAGAATTATAGTAAATGACACAGAGGTCTAGAGACATTAAATGACTGACTTCAATATTAAATGAAGGAAGCACTGGGTTAATTCAGGTTTTTTGGCATCTTTCTTAATGGAAAATATGGGGTCCAACATTAACCTTAATGTGCACAAAATAGACTCTGTTCTGCCATCCATCATGGAAGATTCTGAAAGGTGAGAGTGACAGGTGTGCACAGCACAAGAGGAACGATAGGAGAAACACAGGTGACACCGTGTGCTTCCAGTTCCCTCTATCAAAGTTTGTTCCAGGTCTTCACTTCAACCATACTTGAACCCCTGAGCTGACACAGCCAGAGCCAGGGATGATGAGGTGTTGCCATACCTGGGTGACATATACAAGGACTCTATGCACCAGGAAAAAGAGAGGAGCTACTATGAGTATCTTACCTTAATAAGGGCAGAGCAATGCCCCATGTCCCATCTCTTAAAGAACTTCATGCTGGTGTCTTTTGTGGAAGAGAAAGAGGGAATCAGGTCCAGCAGATCTCCAATTGCATTCAGGAATTGCATCTGAAACATGGTCATGGGCTGGGAAAGGACACAGACTGTAGTAAGTGCTGCTTTGTGACACAGGTCATTTTCTAGCTTTTCTCTTGTTAAGGTCCCAGTAAATTTTTTTTCCTGTGAAGAATCTTTACTCAAACAGATTTACTGGATTTTATTGTAACTTACAAAATAATTTTTATAGCTTTTTATCATTTAGAAGAGATGCCTCAATACATTTTGATAATCACAGATGCTGGAAGTGGCTCCTTAGAGAAGAAAGCAGACCTTTCTGCTTGCACTTCTCTACAGCAGAGTTTTTTTCAACCTTGACACTATTGATATTTTGAGCCAAATAATTCTCTTTTTTTCGGGGGGGGGGGCACTGTGCACTGTGAGGTGTTTAACAGCATCCTTGGCCTCCACTCCATTGACATCAGTACCAAACTTCTAGTTCTGACAACTAAAACTATTTCCTCCAGACACTGCTGGGGAAATCACCTTGGCAAGAACATTCTACAGCAAAATACTCAAGTAGGATGCTTCTGAATTTGATTGTGTGCATTATCCCTGATGCGACTATCAGATGATATCCAAATGTGAACTTGGTACTAACTGGAGAGCTCACTCTAGTAAGATGCAATCCATCAGAGTATCCTAGAGCTGGGAGTCTATAAGTTGATTTTTAGTAGAGGTACTGGGAGGACTATTACAAATGATATTTTAACCAATAAAACAAACCAACAAATAAAAGCAAAAAGCCTTACCCAACAACTTATATAAATATTATCTTGGCTTTCAAGTAATACATTCATATTCAAGATTTTAAAAATTATAGTAAGGCATTTAGTGGGTAGCCCTCTCTTCCTCTTGCTCTGCATTTGCCTGGTCCTTCTCCATTTTATCATTTTTTCCCCCATTAAGTTTATGGGTACATTTAAGGTATACAGTACAGTTACGTTCATCATTGGTCTTGTGCCTTTACATGATGTATCTTGGTTATTATTTTTCCCCATTCCCCTGCCCTCCCTTCACCCCCTTCCATTTTACCATTTTTTACTAATTTCTTATGTACATTTCTAGAACTTCTAAAATGCCATATGCACTTTTAAAGACAAATATCACTGTGAAGTTTTATGTACATGGATTTCATGGACAAGAATGTCTCCAATCTGAGTGGAATTGCTAGGCTGCAGAATACATATGATTTTTAAATATTACATGTAATACTTATCTCTTTTCCAATGAAATTGTAATGATTTACTCTCTTCAGCAATGATTGAAGTTTCCATATTCTGCTGTGTAATAGGATCTCTTTGATGTTCTAATAAGCATTTCCTTGAAATTAAAATTTTCTTCATATTCATGGGCCACTGTACATAACATTCCTGTTAATATTTTTGTTCATTTTTCTATTGAGTATTTTCTATTTTTAAAATGTGTTAGGATTCTGTATGCATTTTTTAAAAACCTTGTTATTTAAATATACTGGAAGTATACTCACTAGGTTTGTAGCTTATCTTTTCATTTTCTATATGGTATCTTTTGGTAAAACATGAATCCTTCATTGTTATTAACTGAATTTATTAATTTTCTTTTTTCATGCTTAGTGTTTTTATGTTTTAAGAAATTGTTTACACTGTCACATTCTCCTTGAGAATGAGCAAAGTTACTAGGTTCTCATCACTTTGAGGGTCTTGCAGAGAACAAGACAGGAAAACCCATACTTTTTAAAGGAGGGTAAAAATCTTTTCCTACTTATATTTCAAGTTTGAAAACCACAGGGTCTTTACTTCATTTTTTTTCCTGTGTTGAAAATCATTTGGCATAATCACTTAGTTGCTTTATTTTTCTACATCTATCCATCCATCCAAGTTTCTCTACCAAACTTCAAAAATACCAATACCTACACTATTATTAAAGTAAGATTCTGCATACAGTTTAAGAGGGTTTTTGTTTGTCGAGTTGGTTTGCGTTGATGCTGCTGTTTGTTTTTATGGGTGGTGGTTCTTGTCCCTGGGTCTCTCTCTCTAAAGATGTTAGACAACAACTGTTTCAGGGTTGCTGGAAATAACAGCTCTTTAAGGAGGGGATACCATCAATCCATTCAACAGTTTTATTTATA